TTACTTATTAGAAAGTTGGTATTTATTTTGACTCAAAATGGATAATTCGATATTAAAATGACCGTTTTCCCGATTCAAAACACCCAAGCATTATCCGTGTTTTTCAACCACCGAAAATGAACTTTATTTATGTGTGAATTTTACACACACTATTTGTGTTCCATTTTTTAATTAAAAATTGAGATCCTTTTGATACACAACATATACACTAATATTAGATGTGAATGTGTAGAAATTTTGACCAGACCACCGCAGGTATGTTCGGAAACGATTATAGACATATTATGTGGATTGTTTTGATAATTATTAAATTAAGACTTAATGAACTTCATTTGTTCAAAGATTATCATATACATGCAATATCAAATTCTAATTAATACTATCACTACTGTATATATAAGTCATAAAACGAAACTTTCTTAACGTAAAATTCAACTTGGTTACTACTATAAACGTTATTAAGTGGCAAAAATACCATAATTTCTATCGATTTTGAAGATTAGTTTTGGTTTTGGTCAATAATTCATCTAGTTATCAAAATATATACATTAGTAACAGGAACTAAATGTAAAATATTTTAGACAATGACAAAAAAAAAGAGAAAGATAAGTAGCACGTAGTAGAAGCTAAAGGCAACAAAATATATCATACAACAACAAAGCCTCTCGGCCTTTAGAGTCACAACTCAGATCTGTTTGATTTTCCGGCGGCGGCGGCTTTCACAGCACCGGTGACGGACCCCGTGTTGTATATTAGGCTGTCTTGTCTTTCTTATGGTTAGCGGTGCTCTGTATGTGTCCAAAGGATAGGGTATAGCTTAGGTTTGGGTTGATTGCAGAGGTGTTGCGGTGGGTTTCGATCTTTCGTTCTGGAAGGTGGTCGCGGTTCCTTAGGCCCTGGTCGAATTCGCGTTTTGGTCCGGCTTCGTCGGGTTAAAGATACTCCTTCTGGTTGTTGTGGCGAGGTACTTTCGTCGGAATCCGACCCTCTCGCCGTGTGGCTTGGTCGTTGTTGGGCTTACGGTGATAGGGTGGTGGGTTTCGGTCTTCTCTGAACTGAGATCGGGAGGGTGGAGATGTTGGGGTTGTAGTGGGCTCGGGTTATGAGCTTGGAATGGGCTCGGGTTAATGGGCTTCGGTTTGTGTTCGGGCCGGTTTTTGGGCTTCTGGGTTGGGCTTCATTTCTGTACCCTGGGCTGGAATTTATATTTGCTTCATCGGTTTGTTTTGGTTCACTGTTCTGCCTTTGCTGTTGATTTGTTCCGTGAGTTTAGTGATTCTATCGGTGGCTTTCCGAGTGTTGTGTTGTGTCTTTACTAGCATGTCTGTTTGATCTCCTTTTGCCTTGGGTTATTATCGTTCTAGCCGGGTTCGATCATGTGCTGTTATGGGTTCCATTTCTGGTATTTTCCGGTTAGTGTGGGCTCGCTTTTTTCTCTACATCTAAGATCTGGTCGTGATCTTCTCTTGTTCAAAGGATACTAACTAGGCGTTGACAAGTCGAGGTATCCTCGGTATCGCCGTTTCCGGAAGTTTTGTGTGAAGATTCAGTCTTCTCTGGTTTCTTACGCCTTGCTGGAATAGTTTCCTAGGTTCATTGATTTGGTTAGGTATACTTATTCATCATAGGAGGAACCGCATATCGTCTGTTGGTTTTCGTGGACCTGTCGATATGCTTTCGCGGTTTGGCTGCAAGGTCTTGGTTATCTCTGGTGTGGTCTGGTTTGATGTAGCTCGATCTTCGGTAGTGGTTGATAGTTTTCTTTCTCGAAGTTGTGTTCTCTGTTCTTTTGGACTTTAGTTGTATTTTGGCTTTACCTTTGTCTTCCTCACACAGGGCTTTGACTCCGCGGATTGTGTAGTCCGCGGCTTTGTATTCCAAAAACGCATCCCACCCTGTATTATTCCAGTGTTTTTAATAAAATCAAGATGACAAAAAAAAAAAAAAGTAGCACGTAGTAACCAGTGTGTGAATAACCAGTAACCAGAGTTAGAAAAGTGACCATAGGAAAGGGTTAAGAAACAAGTAGCGGCCAATTGAATTAAATGGGGGACTAGGTCACATGGTTAGGCATACAAAATAAAGCGTCGTGCTGCATGAGCCGCTGTTTTTTTTTTTCTAGGGTCTACGGATCCGCTGCGGCCACACCTACTTTTCTCTTACCGTGTTCCCTCTTCTTTGTATATGATTCAGCACCGTTTCTATTTATTTAGCCCACGTTTTGTGTACTCTCCCACTTGTTCATCTCCTAGCTAAAACCTAATTTAAGATTATCATTCATCTCAAATTATTTCATCTTTGTTTATTGATTTTTTTTTTCAAAAGTTTAAGAGGTTGAAGCTCTTAATCCTCCGATTTTTTTTTTTTTTTTGAAAAATAGTGTTTCGTGAATGAAGAGATGAATAGAGGTTAAGCTTATTTATGTCACAAAAAATGCATTTTATTTTTCAGTAATGTGTGCCTTTTTTTTTTTTTGAAAACAATAAGTAAATGTGTGCTTAGAAGATGTGTTTGTGTTAGAACAAATTTACAGATAGCCGACTGGAGATTGATTTTCTTATACCGTATGAATACGAGGACAAAAGTCTTATGTTCATTACTTGATATGCATGGCAAATGTCTCATTGTGCTTGAGTTTGAGCAAATGTTATGATGTGTGAACTATTGAAAAGTGATGTTACTATTCTTCGAATGAGGAAAAAGGGATTTTTTTGGTGTTGATTTGAAAGACTAGTCGACAAGTGTTTCTTGTTTTCTGGACGACAAAAATGGACTCAACAAATCAAGACGTTACCATCACACTATCATGTGAGTTGTATTTTCTACCAATTTTTCTAAATTGGTTTCTATAACTACTATTTTAAATAGCATAATTCTGATATAAATCGAGTCAATAAATAGGCTAAATTATTGGTGTATTACTTTTACTGTGCGAATGACAGATATATTAAGCCCACATTGTCGCATTTTAATACTACACATGGTTAATAATATCCACTACAATCATTGGTTTTTATTCTAAGGAGAAAGCAAAAAATATTTATGGATTAACGGGGAGATGAAATAGTGAAATAAGTAGTTGCTAATATACTATTTATAAAAACTCTGTTTGTGTGTGTTCGAGGTCGTTGGTCCAAAAGGTTGCTTTCGGAGATCGCAGACAAGGGTTTAGCTATAAAGAGGATATATTAATATATTACGTTTGTCCGAATCGAAGTGATGTGAAGGTGACCATGTTCCTTACAAATTCATGGTTTTGTCTTGTCGAGAGAGTCAAGCGCGGGGCTCTATATATCTACACACGTAGATGGGACTAGTCATTACTTAGTCACGAACTTGGATCTTCTCTTTGTCTATATCTTTTATCAACTTGGTCAAATTTGAGATTTTCTTCTGTTTGATAATTTGTTCCTGCATTGGCCCATTCGCCATCTAAAATATGTAAGTTTGCTTGGTAGTGGAATTATCCTAATGACCTAGGTGAAGATAATTTTTTCTTTAAAATCAGGGAATGATTCGAATTTTTATCAAATATCTTAACGATTAACAAAAATATGCAATGTGGTTAGAAACTGTAGAAAATTAGCACAAAAAACGATTCTTTATGAGAAACTAGTCAATGATATTATAACGGTTTGAATAACCAATGTGATAAAATAAAATTGTATTTGTCTATAAGAAAATCGCTTGGTTTTGCATTCTTCCAAATATCAGTCCTTCCAAATATCAGTTTTTTTTGCTACTATTTAACTATAATTTTGTTGTCATGTGTGGTAAACTTTTGGTTTATGAGTGGTTTACAAAAATCTTAATTTTATAGTTTCATAGTTAAATCTATCAGAAATTAATCAAAAAAGTTTGTTCCGGTTGAAATGTTTTTTTTTTTCCTGCAATTGAAATTTGTAGTAAATTATGTGATTGTATATCAATATTCTTGTATTGTCATCACTGTTTGATTACATATGTTTGAGTTTGTTGCTATGTCGTATAATAGTAATACTTATTAAAAGGGATTTGTGTCTTTTTTGAGGCAGAAAAAGGGATTTGGAGCATGGAATTAAGGAGCAAAATATTGTTATAAAAAAAAAAAAAATTAAGGAGCAAAATGTTGTGGCCGACCTATGCAACATAATTTTCAAGCCAATTCATGGAAGTGCGTCACTTGGACCTGCAGGTGTCAAATAATGCAAATGCTATAAAAAAAATACTTGCTTCTACACTACACTTTAGATG